TTTTTTTGTTTGTGTCTCCCAATGCTGTTAGACCGGATCACTATTCTATCATTCCAATCACATAAGGTGCGACCACAAAGAAATGACATAAAACGTGATTTATAGCCCACGCCCATCTGTAGGTAAGAATATGTGTGTGTGAGTCAAAGTTTAATGGCTAAACCATTTCGAATCAAATAAAATAATGTCTATACCTGCACTCAGCAAGGTGGCGCTGTTGTAAATAAACCTGATGTTGAGCGTACGGCTGATTCAACACAATCTCATGGCAATTCAAAACAATTTTACAATTTGGCAAATTTGTTTGAATTTGTATAATATAATTTGTAAATTTTTGTACATTCTGCTTAATTCTCCACTGATGGTTCAGTTTAGGGGTGGACCTTCATACTTAGTTTTGTTAAATTTATTTTTTATGTCATGTTTTTGAGCTAGTCTCACTGTACGAATTCATACAAAATTGCCACCTCGTCAAATAGTTTTCTCATGAGATTTGGATTGATTCCCATTTCCCATTTTCTCTGTCTTCCATTATTTGGACAAATATTTAATCCCCAGTTTTTCAAAATGCCATTGGTTGAGCCAAAAGGTCATATTCTGTCACGCTTTCGACCTTGACACACTTCCGACACACACGTCCCTATTTTATTATCTCCTCAAAACATTTCTCCCATGATGTCCCATCCTGATCGATGTAGCAGGTGTGCTGATAAATCTCAGACGGTGCTGGACATTTGTCTTCATATTCTCATGCGAGAGCACATGATTCAAAGCATGCTGCTCTCCACATGGAGATCACAGCGGAAGAGACTTCTGCCTTATTTTGCTGTGGACGTGTGGCCAGGAGAAAGAGAGAGAAAGTGACAGATTACACTTCTCATAACACCAGATAGAACAACAAAAGATCTGGAAAGCAAGACCGGGAAAGATAGAAATGTGGGTGGTGTTGCTTAGCGGTTAAATATTTGGTAAAGGCTGCAGGTTCAAACTTTAAAAGTGGTGATTCATGAGCTGTCACTATTGTAGCCTTAAGCAAGACACTTTTATTCAGGAGAAATCACCAAAAAATTAAGATTCTGTCATCATTTTTACACGCTTATGTCATTTCAATCCTGTTTGACTTACTTTCTTCCTTTGAGAACAAAAGGAGATGTTGAGTAGGATGTTCATGCTGCTCTTTTCCACAAAGGGAAGCATACAGGGAGCACAGGCTATCAAAAACATTATAATGGTCCATTTGACTTGTGTGCTATATTACAGATCTTCTGGCACCAGAAATCTGAAGCCCCTTTCACACAAAGCGTTGATCCTGGAAAATTGCCATAATTGCCAGAGTGCCTTCTGTGTGAATGCAAACACGTCCCAAATCCTGGGACACATTATTAGTGTATTTTCTGGAATCTCGGTGTGAAAGGGACTTGATTGTGACATGGCAAGTTTGAATATGTGGAAGCAAAAGGACTTTCAGTGAAAAGTGTAAAATGTTGACACAAAATCATCATATGGCTTCAGAAGACATGGAATATAGCGCACAAGTTATTTTGACTACTGTTGTGGTGCTTCTTTGTCATTTTTGGAGTTGGTCCCCATCTGCTTTCATTTATGGAAAAGATCAGCGTGAACATTCTTCAAAATTTCTTCCTTTGCGTGCCACAGATTCTGAAGAAAGAAAGCCAAAGGGGTTTGGAACGACATGAGGGTCGGTCAATTAATCCAGGTTTCTCAAATGAGACTGATCCTGTGGTAAAAAAAGGAAGTCAATAAAAAGTGTCATGTAGATATCACAGAATCTGTTGCTTCATTTGTTATGTGATGGCTCTGAAAATTACATGGCTATTTCCCGGGACACAAGACAGGGTGTTTGATTGAAAATCAAAGTCTTTTCTTTCATCTGTATCACTGTAAGGAGTTTAGACCGTAAGAGAAAGCCATTACAGAGAGATTGGAGATAGTGTTTCAATGGATCTGTTTCCATTGGAGTCCTTCACTTTGGCTATCAGAAATACTGTTACTAGTATGAGCGATCTAGGAGAAGATATTTTAAGCATTATATAGTCACATATAGAACGTTTAAGCATTAAAATCTTTCCATTGGAGTCCTTCACTTTGGCTATCAGAAATACTGTTACTGGTATGAGCGATCTAGGAGAAGATATTTTAAGCATTATATAGTCACATATAGAACGTTTAAGCATTAAAATTGGCTATTACTGATTATCTGCATTCACACTTGCACATTATTGTACTTTCACGGTTATTTTCATGGTCCGCTTCGCAAAGGACAGCTATTTCACACCTGATCTTGGCTGATAGCTTGGGGGCGAGAGTCCCAGAGTTCTTGTTTTGGATGGTTATCTGTCTGATATAAGAGAGGTATTTATTTTAGCATACTTTTTGTAAATTCAGTCTCAAGTTTTTAGTTTTTAACCCATTACATTTGCACATTAATGAATTTTGGCCATTTATAAGCATTGATAAGCAGGTTAATAACTGACACCCATTCTTGGTTAAACTCCTTTGTCATGTGTCATGGCCCCAGAGAGTGATCTCTTCTCTTTATATCCTGCTCTGATCCCCCAGTTGAGAAGAGCCAAACTGGGTCACTCATTTAGGTAGGAAAAACACCTCCCTTTTGGCTGGCCACGTACTAATAAGCTCATTTCGGAGGTGATTGACTCCTTAATTGAAATCAGAGTGCTTTGTGACCCCCAGAGTCGTGCTATAATTAGATATGTTCTCTGACTCCTTGATCCCATGCCGAAATAACTCTCTGAATATGACCAAACAGGAAAGACCCCTTCAGTAGAGTTCTGCTAAGTGAAAGAGATTGATAGCCATTTGTGTTTGAGTATTATTGCAGTTAAATGTGTCTTTTGTTGGCTTTTTGGGGTTCATACCACAAGTTGACATATTTGGCCAACATAGCTTACACTTCCTTCTTCATAAACTTCTTTTTAGGCTTTTTTAGTCGATCTATCTCAGTTTGTTCTCGACCTACTTCTCTTTGATTTTGAGTGCAGCGCAAGCCCTGAGGTCTTCATATCACTTAATTCATAGTTTTCAGCTAATATGCCAACTTATTGCTAACTAGATTGCCTGAAAGCAAATATATGTCACCCAAGTGTCTAAAAAAATATATGCATTTTCATCTGGAATACGTATTTTTTTTGCACATTTGCTCATCTGCACTCTCTAAAATGTTACCTTTTGGATGTTTAAAGTTGTCTTTTTAGAAAGTCAATCTGCTCTTTTTAAAATGTACGAAAAACCATTTATGCCATTGCCACTTGTCATGACACTCAGCAGGTTTTTGTTTGGCTTGAAAATGCGACACCATATTTTCTGCGCTGTAGGTGACTATATAAGGTAGATAGATAGATTCAAGAAAGAAAAGACCAATCACAATTCAGTGTGCAAATTAGTGTTTTTTTAAATGCAGAACATTCTATAATTTAAGTCGAATTTTCAATCAAAAGTTCTTAAAAGAAAAGTTCACCCAAAAAATTAAAATTCCAAAATTCTTTTTGGACCCCATTGACTTCCATTGTATGGAAAGAAAAAAAAAACATTCTTCACAATATTAAGTTTTGGAACAACATGAGGTTAGTTAGAAATTATGACAGTGTGAACCAACATCATGTTTACCAACATCGTTAGCACAACAAAGACTGAAATTATCTACAACAGGAATGTAGCCTGTGAGTTTAGTGGTTTGAGATGAATCAATTGCAGAAGACTGTGGAAAAAGACAATAAAAAGAACATGACTTTCAAAAGAGTGCTACCTTGCGGGGTACGGTGGCAATGCTAATGCTACTGAGAGCTTTTCTCAGCGCTAGGCTAATTAGCACATATATTACATTGGGAAAACAAGGGGAAGGAAATTGCTTTGTCACATTTCCACGTAGCAGAGTGTGTTTGTGGCACATTCTCACACATTTCCAAGACTTGTTTAATTTCCAGTGTGGTTTATCCATGTAATAAAAAGACAAGAGACAAGGCGCAAAAGAAAACGTAACCCAATATGAGGAAGAAAGGTGTTATTTTGTTGTTAGTTTTTTATATTAGTCCGGCATCCTGCAATTTGTTGGTTCTAACAGGATTTTTCTAGTATTGTCGGGTTGTGTCACATTTCCGAGTGTTAATTTGTACCGTCCTCTTTCATAAGGAATATCAAACAAAATTCCATTCGCTTAAAATGGTCTAATTTTAACTTTATCGTGGTGTGGCTGAAGAAGCCAATTATTAGACTGAGTTACTTTCCTGCACTATATAACAAAGTTAGCCCACACAAATGACCCAAAAGCCATTTTTAGGGCTTCACAGCAGCAGTGGTACTGAAATAGTTCATCTTCATCTGATGTTACTGAGCCTGCGCTCAGATACTTGCTCTGTACTGTTGAGTTTGTGGAGATTTTCACATCGAGTTTTGGCACAAATTGTATCTTTCTGTTCAGAAGCTGCCTACGAGCGTGTACGGACATACACACATGCGTGCTCACACTTAAAGCAACTGCCAAGATGTAATTAGCTGGTAACATCTAACACGTCTCACCTACACACTCCTACTCATGCAAACAAACCAAGCGACCCACAGCTCAGCAGATTTACAGCATTATCTAAACATACAGAGATGGCGGAGTGAGAACAGATGCCCACTCATGCCCATCACACACACACACACACACACACATACACACAAGTGTGTTAGCGTACAGTTACACACAGCACTTTGAAACACCAGTATACCCTACAGCGTTCTGTGGCCATAGTGGATTGCAGCAGCGTGCATATCTGAGCATACAGTATATATTACATATATAAAGTAATAAAATGAAAATATTGTTAAAAAATATTATGTATATAATTAATATTATAGAACCTTTTTGATTTCGAAATAAAAAGTCCCAAAATGTACATAACTTTTGTATTTTTAAAATATGTTATTTTATATTTTTCAGTTTCTCATTAGATTCTTTTACGACTGACAGAGCTGTGCTGTCATTTCTTACTGTATGCCTCTTGTGTGTCTATTTCTCCAAAGAAATGTTAAAAGAAACATCTAAAACAAAGTACTTGTTACTGGTACTTGAACAAATCGTAATTGAGAGCTCCATTCCATCTCTTGAGGAATGAAGGAGCTTTTCTGCATTAATTGTCCTTGGTCTCTTTTGATTGAACTAAGCTTGAAGGATTGACATGGACATATGACATTGGAGGACACACCTCTGTATCACACATCACTTCTCTTCGTCACATACTGTACATCCAACATCATGCTCTCCTCTTCTGTAACTCATTTCCACTTATTCTTGTGCATCATTTTCTTTTTGTTTTCTTTTTCATAATTATGATGTCTAAACGCATGTCTAAACACTTTAACAGCCTTTTTTTCCACAGAATTTGTTTTTTATCATGTTGGGGGCCTTATATATATATATATACATACACACACACACTTGTTAATCTTTGAAATACCTTGAAGTATCAGAGATTTTCTGAGATTTCTGTATAATCTCAAAAAGCATGGTATTTGGACATGTTTGTTAAACATGGTGTTCTTCAAAGAATACAATGTTATACCATGGTATTATCATTGTACTTATCCAAACCCATTTAGGTCATGGTAAATTTCTAAGAATACGAAGATACGTGTTCAAAATTGTTGCTTCATAGTATATGTACTATGGTAAAAAAAGTGTTATTTTTTAAAATAATGTTCTAAAATGATTTATCAATCACATATGTACTACAAAACATTGTATTACTATCTGTTACAAAGTCCAGTTATTGTACAAATTTTGAAATAATATGCTTAGAATACCATGGCGTTCATTGAAATTACCATGGTACAAGACTAAAAACTATGACTACAAAATTGTAAAAATACCTAGTATTTCCATAGTACTATTTTGCAAGTGTCAAAAAAGAAAAGTACATTTAAAACATTTATCTCTTTACTTGTCAGTTCTTGTGAACAGCATCTTCACTCCTGAATCTCTCTTATTGCCACTTTGTCTAGTAGTTTCTTTTTTTCTTGCTAGCATCCTCTCATCTTATTTAATCCAACACTTTCATCCTGTCCTTTCATTCACTCTCTTCAAAGTTCTTAAAGAACGAGGATCTCTTACCTGCAGCTTGGTCTCACTCAGGACGTGTTTTGCTCTTTTTCTCCGTCGGTGTGTGTGTTTCCTGCCTGCGTGTCCTTGCTGTGTGTGTGTGTGCGTGTGTGTGTTAGGCGGTGTTTGACTTCAGCAGCAGCGGACGCCTGGAGCTCAGTCTGAAGGCTGGAGATGTGATCTTCCTCCTGCGGAGAGTCAACGCAGACTGGCTGGAGGTGAGAGAGAGATGGAGAAAGATAACTAGATAGAAGCAGAGTGAGAGGTAGAAAAGGATAGGTAGGCAGGAGGAGAGGAGAGAGAGAGGATGAGGGTTTGTAAGAGAGAAAAAGGGAGGGAGAGGAAAAAAAGGATGGAGCAGCATGATCTCATTTATGTTTGGAGGTATTTGTGCATAAGTGTGATTATAGCACACATACATTTATATATGTGTGCGTGTCTGTAATGTTGCTTCTAAGAGGTGGTTCTTAAACTACATTGAAAAAATGTTAAATAAATATGCTTCATGTGGTAGCATCTAAATTAATTGAATGTAATTCAAAAATATAAATGAACATCGCTGAATCAATTTAAACTAATCAACACAACTAAATTGGTTTTAGAATGATACAAGTTTTAGAAATAGCTCCTTAAGCATTTTACAGTATACTAAAGTAGCTCAGAACTCTGTTTTCCAGCAATTATAAATGGCAAAATTAAAAAAGAAATGTAATGCCTGACGAGTAACTAAATCTTTCTCTGAGCACTTTATTTACAGTGGCGAATGTCAAATTATTGGCCTTTTGTTGCAAAGTCCGACCTATTTAATAACCGAAACATAAAGAGAAAGTAAATGTTTAAAGTAACATTATTATTAAATGGGGTATAACAACAACAACAACAACATCAACAACAGCAATAATAATAATTACTATTCTTCTTCTTCTTCTTCTTCTTCTTCTTATTATTATTATTGTTATTAATAATAATATTAATATATAATAATAATACTCATCATCAATATAATAATAGTAGTAGTAATAATAATAATTACAAATATATACTACTTCTACTAATAATAATAATTATAATAATAATAATGGGTTCATCTGCTATTAATAACAATAACAACAACAGCAATAATAATAAATGTAATTTTTAGAAAATTTTCAGCAAAATTGTTTTAACTTTTAGAAAAGAATAAAGACATCTTTACACTGCAAAACAATGCAGATTTCCATCTGAAGCAGCATATATACCAGGAAAATAACAAAATACTTAAATTTCAAATGGTGTTTTTATTGTGTTTATAACATATGAGATAAATGAAATATCATCATCATATTTATTGAATGCTTTAATCTCATTTGACTTGTTTTTTACATTTGGAAGATGATTTTATTAAACTCACCTTGGTCATTCATGGTGTACATTTAATCAGTTTGTGCGTTCCTTGGGAATCGAGCCCATGACCTTAAACTGTTTGGTTTTTTATATAACATAAACACACAAATAAGTAAATATAGATTATTGTGACATTGCCAGTGTATTTTACATACATTTCATACAAATGCCTACAAACATACATCACTCTGGGTGGAGATACAGCATCAGGAGAACATGATGGATGAAGGTACTAACTAAAGAAAGGAAGAAGGTAATAATTTAATGGATAAAGTGATTTGGGGAGCACTAAAAAGATTGTGTTATGAACGAAGGATGATGGTGGAAAAGACATAAAGGAGAAGACGAGACATTTATGTATAAGAGTGGGACATTGAGAGTGAGAAGATCTGATCTGGACACACACTCACTCACACACATGGTTTTTATGAGTTAGATACCTGCAATCATTTCAGATCATGACAATAAAGGAGAATTATTTGACCTGAATTGAATTGCAGAGACAGAAAGAGAGGGAGGGGAAATCGGATATTGCATAGACATGCAGTGGACCCTTAAATAACATTATTGAGATAAGAGCGGGTGAAAGAGAAAGATCAAGTCGTAACTCGTAGTTCATTGCCTGAGAAACTCCTTTTTCTTGCTTGAATGCACCTAATGTGTCTGAAGATCAGGGCCATAGCAAGCATTATTCCTCCCACTTCTGGGGACATTAATACACCTGCCTTATTGTGTCCCTCTATCTGTCACATCAGTTCATCTCCCCTGCCGCAGATACAACAAACCATCTCACAGTAACACAGACAGACAGACAGATAGACAGACAGACAGACCGATGGATGGACTGATAGATAGAAAAATGGATGGGTGAATGCATGAATAGATAGAGAGACATATAGATTGATGGACAAACAAACGAACAGATGCATAAACAAACGGGTGAGTGGATGATCAGACAGAGACAGATAGACAGATAGACAGATAGACAGATAGATAGATAGATAGATCGATCGATAGACAGGCAAACAGACAGACTGACAGACAGACAGACAGACAGACAGACAGGCAGGCAGATAGACAGACAGACATACAGACAGGCAAACAGGCAGACACAGACAGACAGACAGACAGGCAGGCAAACAGACAGACAGGCAGGTAAACAGACAGACAGGCAGGCAGGCAGGCAAACAGACAGGCAGGCAGTCAGTCTGTCTGAGTTACTGTGAGATGGTTTGTTGTATCTGCGGCAGGGGAGATGAACTGATGTGACAGATAGAGGCAGACAGGCAGGCAGACAGACAGACAGACAGATAAACAGACATATAGATAGATAGATAGACAGACAGACAGACAGACAGGCAGGCAGGCAAACAGACAGACAGACAGACAGACAGACAGAGGAAATAGAGGTCTTCATCTGCTCATGCCGTATGTCCTCTCTCTCTCTGTAGGGCACAGTGAGGGACAAAACTGGAATCTTTCCCGAGTCGTTCGTGAACATTATTAAACCTCTTCCCGAGAGTGACTCTGACGAAGAGGGCGGAGCTTCCAAGAGTGGGAATCGTGCTCCGAGTTCCTACAGCTGCCTGCGCTGCTATCTGCTGCAGCCAGAGGGCATCGACACAAGGTCACACACACACAGAGGCATTATCAGTTCAATTCATCTAAAGATATTATCCTTTTAACCACTCTCACCCTATAAACACACTTAAATATCTTAGCAACCACATCACAACACCCTGGCAACCCCCTAGATGTTGAATATGAATATTTCTCAGCTAATGTGATGCTGTATTTCTTGTCTGCTGTAGGGACATTTGTGTTGAGGAAGATCTCTCCATTCAGCCGTCTTACAAAGATCTGCTTTCCCAAATGAGGTACCTTTACCCCTGTCCTGTTCAGCTTTCTTATCAGGTTGTCTTGTTTGAAATGTTGTATTTCAACAATGTGCCCCAAAATGGAAATACAAAAGAAAGCCTAATTAATTGAATATTCTGCCATTTAATACAGTTAAAGCGTCTCCTAATCGGCGTGTGTTTGCATTTATTCTCTCAGTTCCATCATCAGCATCTTTAATTCTGCTGTTCTTCTCACACTGAGGAGAGCTGGTGTCTCTTTAATATTCACACCATGTTTCCTGCCTTAATTCAAGTAAGGGGGGAAAAGATGCAGTAGAAAAGAAAGAAAGAACAGAAAAACATCCAGGAGTGATAGAAATTCGATCGAATTTTATCGAAGATAGAAAAAAAACACAGATTTACTTAATACTTTTCGTTACAGTGTAATAATTATTCGTTTTCTCAATGTCTAGCAGAAAATCTCTTTTTGAAAACCTAGTGACCTATCTAGATAACATTTTAAGCAATAAAAAAAAAAGTTTATTTATTTCATGTTTAAAAGCATTGTTAAATGTAACATTAAAATAATACAACAGACAAATGTATTTAAATAAATACATGTTTGCTGAATAAATGCTTAAAATAATTGAACTGTTTTGTCATTAGTTTAGCAAATATTTTATTTTTCAGATTGTTCTTACTGGCATTAAATCTAACACCTATATTATATTATATTATATTATTGTATTCAATTATTCATTTAATTGCTTAAATATTAAAAGGATTAAATATAAAATGATTAATTATTATTATTATTATAACACTAATTTAATATGTAATAAAACTAACAATATATAGTAATGTATCTTATTTTCTATTCTAAATTTAATACAATTAAAAAAAAATGAAAATGAAAATATACAATTTTATTTGAAAAATCCATTTGATTATTAAATTAAGAGTATCTACATACTCTAGAGCTAAATCGATCACACTGTAAAATTACAAATAACAATCTACGATGTGTGAAATGTCAACATTTATTGCGGTATAGAAAACAGATATGAGTAGCAAACAGAGAGATCTTCAAAAACAAGAGAATAGTTCATACTCTTACGTCTTAATGCCTGATATTTTTAATCTTTCAACAAACGACATCACACAGGTCACAAAACGATGTCTCGAGGGCCACGTGCTGAGTAGCACTGGAGTAATGTTTAATAATAAACCCCATTTGCATGATGTTGAATGATCTGACATTCGAATGCTGCTGTTGTATCATTTACATAAGGGTCACATGACTGCGACACAACATGGAGGCCTCAAATTGCATTATACTAATTATATTTGTACTTTTCTGTGACCTCTAAACTACTACGCAATTAGTTTCTTTCTGTTTCCCCCCTCAGGGGTATCTTTCAAGTGGAAGATATTGCTTTGAACTACCGGGACCCCGAGGGTGATCTGATACGGATATTAGACGATGAAGACATCGCTCTCATGGTGCAAGAGAGCAAACAGACGGGGTCAAAGGTCAAACGACCCGTGAATCAGTTTCCCTGGGAGCTGCTGGTCACGCATGCCAAAGATCTGACCGTCTACAACACCGAGTATTAAAACCAGCGCTTTTCTGGACCTCGACATGTTCCTCGTCATTTGCACATTGATTGTTAGTTTAATTGGTTTTCAAATTGAAAACAATTTTTAGTTATTAAAGGGATAGTTCACCCAAAAATGACAATTGTGTCATTATTTACGCACCCTTGAATCGTTCATGACTTTTGAGGCAGAATCAGTTGGTCCAGTTCACAAAATCGGTCTGACTGATTCGTTTATGAATCAAAGTGATTCGGTTCTCAGTTAACTGATTCACTGATTCACTGATTCATTGATCTGGTAACAACGGATCACAGATCTCGGAAGGGAAGATAATCAGTGAATAATAACACTTCATTGTCCAAAACATTCTTAAATGCCCTCAGACCAGTGTTATCATTAATATACTATTATATTGTTTAGAGAGAGAGAGAGAGCTAGATTTGATTTTTCATGTGATCTGTTTTCACTTTTTTTAAGTGCATGTTAAAATTTGTCTTTATAAATTTGATAAATGTTTACTTAATAGTTTATTTAGTTTTAGTTGTTTTAGCATTTCAATTTAAACTAAACCAAAATAAGAAATGTAGCCTTGACAACTAAAAAAAAAATGTTTGTGTTTTCTTGTATTTTATATCTTGTATTTTATTTTGTTTGTTTAGCTTTAGTTGTTTTAATATTTCAAGTTAAACTAAACAAACCTAAGAAATGTAGCTCTGGCAACTAGCTGAAATAAAAAAAAAAGTTTCATTTTATTTTATTTTATTTTTCAACATTCATTTTATTTCAAGTAACAAGAATATTTTTATGTTTTTAATTTTAGTTGTAATTAGCTGTAATAACCCTGTCTCAGATTATTACAATAAAGCATACAAGTCATGTGTAAATAAGACTGTTTGTTGCTGCTTTTGTGGCCTTTTTGAAGCTGTAAACCCTCAGTTTCTGTTTACTGTTGCTGACCAGCAGAAGGGGAATATGAGGATGAGTAATTCATTGCAAAATTGTATTTTCTGGGTGCCTAATTCTTCAATACAACCAGTATTTCACAGTGGAATCTATTACTGAATATATTTTAGAAATTTTCAGTGCGAATAAATGCTGATTTTCTTTGTACTTTTAGCACTTTTTGGTGGTATGACATCTGCAACATTTCACTTTTTTTGTTTGGTGAAGTTTTTATCCAACTTCCTTTTTCAATTCCCTTCTTTGCAAGAAAAACTCTTTTCAGAAATCACGGGTGACTTGACGTGTGGCACATCTTTACTTTAGTGATATATATATATACAGTGGGGCAAAAAAGTATTTAGTCAGCCACCAATTGTGCAAGTTCTCCCACTTAAAAAAGATGAGAGAGGCCTGTAATTTTCATCATAGGTATACCTCAACTATGAGAGACAAAATGAGAAAAAAAAATCCAGAAAATCACATTGTAGGATTTTTAAAGAATTAATTGGTAAATTCCTCGGGAAAATAAGTATTTGGTCACCTACAAACAACCAAGATTTCTGGCTCTCACAGACCTGTAACTTCTTCTTTAAGAGGCTCCTCTGTCCTCCACTCGTTACCTGTATTAATGGCATCTGTTTGAACTCGTTATCAGTATAAAAGACACCTGTCCACAACCTCAAACAGTCACACTCCAAACTCCACCATGGCCAAGACCAAAGAGCTGTCAAAGGACACCAGAAACAAAATTGTAGACCTGCACCAGGCCGGGAAGACTGAATCTGCAATAGGTATATTTGCAGTGGTGTTCAAATAAAATGTTAATAAATAAAATAAATGACAAAAAAAAATCTAGTCCTGAAAAAAAGGACTAAAATAGGGGTGTTTTCATAGTCGAATCGGAATTTTCTAATCTTGCTGATGGTCGAATCATATGTTTGGGGGCGGGGGGCAAACTAGGCTATTTTACAAAGAGTCAAGTCAGACATTCGACAGTCATAACTACTGACATTAACACACAAGGAAAATGTGAAACGGACGCCTCGCAGATACAAACAGGGGAAATAATGTTATATGTTTTGATTAAAAGATAGTTAACATTAAACGTCAGTGAAACCCTAAGAATTCACAATTTTTTTTTACAATAGTGCTCTCATTATAATGTTATGTATATGACAGTAGTTATTAACGTTCTGCATTTCTGTTTTGAGCTGAAGATGACCAGTAGAGTTACAACGAAGCGCTTGCAGCGCAACTCAACCAAATGCTTCTTATATGAGATCATGTATACACGATATATATATAAACCGGCTGAAATGTTTTGAAATCACTTGTACCTACCTGATTTAAAAAATCCAGTCTTTCACTCTGCCTGTGTCAATTTGTGTCTTGTTAAAGTTTTACATCCCTGCCACCAAGATGCTCCTCTGTCAGTCACGGATTATGGAAAGTGAAACTTAAATCTGTAGGGGTGGTTGGATTTATTCACGCACGTTAAAATATTTATTTGAAGCTTCTTTCTTTTCAGATTCTTATTTACATCATTATCATAATAGGCTGTATATTTACTTATTGGGCGAAAACAGGTAGTTCTATGAGAAATTAGACATTGAGCACCCCCATATAGCCAAAATGGCATGATCATAACACCTCAGCGAATATTCGACAGTGAGATTGGTAGTCGAATCAGGCTCCTCCCATCGAAGCATCGAATCGTCGACTATTCGGGGTCACCCCTAGACTAAAATGCCTACTGCTCAACTACATATACTATAGTCTACTAAGAATACAAAAAAAACTGCTGCATACTGCATCAAAACCATTAAACCTGTGGAACACAGGTTTTGCTGAAAGCAGAAAATGTGCACTCTCATTTTCCATGTCATTGATGGAACGTCACAACAATTTTCAAACCTCTAAATATTACTGCACTCGAGCAAAAGTGCAAGTCAAGCACAGTCCCAGCAGGCTCTCACGTTTAATCAATTAGCTACTACGGCTCTGAGAGCAGTAGGTCAACACGCTACCGACTTCAACAGCAAACGTAGACCTTTGGAGTCTCACGTAGACTGCAGTTGGCGTGCAACATCCCAGACTTGTCAGGCACTGAGAGAGCCACCTGGAAGCACCAAGTTCCCGTGAGTGGGTGGTGCAGTCGGGTCAGGCTGAGAGTGTGAAACCTTGAGCCCGGCATCGGAAGAACACATGGTGCATGGGAGGATGCATGCAACACCTCTGCTTATAAACCACATGTCCACAGGAGGCCTGGCACCACCGTTTCAAGCTTTATACCTCTGCAGGCGGTGGCAAAACAGCCATAGAACCAGTCTGGGCTTGTCCCTTTCTGAAAAACACTATATGACAATAGAAAATCTTTGCAGGGAGTTGAAAATCCGTGTTGCCCAGCGACAGCCCCAAAACATTACTGCTCTAGAGGAGATCTGCATGGAGGAATGGGCCAAAATACCAGCAACAGTGTGTGAAAACCTTGTGAAGACTTACAGAAAACGTTTGACCTCTGTCATTGCCAACAAAGGGTATATAACAAAGTATTGAGATGAAATTTTGTTATTGACCAAATACTTATTTTCCACCATAATTTGCAAATAAATTCTTTAAAAATCCTACAATGTGATTTTCTATTTTTTTTTCTCATTTTGTCTCTCATAGTTGAGGTATACCTATGATGAAAATTACAGGCCTCTCTCATCTTTTTAAGTGGGAGAACTTGCACAATTGGTGGCTGACTAAATACTTTTTCCCCCACTGTGTATATATATATATGTGTGTGTGTACATTTTATACATTAATGTAAGCAGGGATTGGTGCTGATATATACATTTAATGCATATCAAACACATTGAAGATGAAATGTGGCTGGGTCTTTCAGCATGACAATGATCCCAAACACATCGCCCGGGCAATGAAGGAGTGGCTTCGTAAGAAGCATTTCAAGGTCCTGGAGTGGCCTAGCCAGTCTCCAGATCTCAACCCCATAGAAAATCTTTGGAGGGGGTTGAAAATCCGTGTTGCCCAGCGACAGCCCCAAAACATTACTGCTCTTGAGGAATGGGCCAAAATACCAGCAACCGTGTGTGAAAACCTTGTGAAGACTTACAGAAAATGTTTGACCTCTGTCATTGCCAACAAAGTGTATATAACAAAGTATTGAGATGAAATTTTGTTATTGACCAAATACTTGTTTTCCACCATAATTTGCAAATAAATTCTTTAAAAATCCTACAATGTGATTTTCTGGATTTTTTTTCTCATTTTGTCTCTCATAGTTGAGGTATACCTATGATGAAAATTACAGGCCTCTCTCATCTTTTTAAGTGGGAGAACTTGCACAATTGGTGGCTGACTAAATACTTTTTTTCCCCACTGTATATATATATATATATATATATATATGTGTGTGTGTGTACATTTTATACATTAATGTAAGCAGGGATTGGTGCTGATATATACATTTAATGCATATCAAACACACACACACACACTTACAGAAAAACCTGATTACTCTTTAGGCAAGTGTGAGTTTGATTCATGAAAGTGTGGAAGGAGGCTGATCGGTCGGATCTATCAGCGTGAGGAATGTTCTCAACCTGAATTAGCTACAGCTAATCATTAGCAGTGTTTGCTAAGGCAAGCTTTTACTAACACATCGCTCATACTTAGAGTTAGTGATTTCAGTGAATCTCTAGCCGTAGGTATTAAACATCATTACTGTATGACATATATATGAATGATACCTCAAATCATTTGTTTATTTCTTTTCACCTGGTAGTAAACTAGGCAACCAAAATCATTAAAAAAACATTCAATTTAATATAAATATAATATTATATAAAATGAGCAATTGATCCAAACAATCTATTCTTTTCTATTCTAATAATGTGTAATATTTTAATAATGCAATTAATAAATTAATACTTTTATCATTTTAATATTTAAAACATTTAAGAAATTAATATTATAATACACAAATAATTTAATATTTCAGTGATTTCTATTATTTTTTATCTTAATTTTGTATTTGTTATTATAATTTCATATAAAAATTTTAAATGCATTAATTTAAGAATAGAAATATATATATATATATATAATATCCTTTAATATTTAATAATTTTAATATTTAAAACATGTAATCAATTAATTAATAATATAATATAATACAATATTACTTTCTCATTTCAATGTTTTTAAATAGAATTTGATATTATAATTTCATATAAAACTAAATTACTTTATGCATCGAATAGAACATAAGAAATATTATTATATCATATATTAATGGTTAAATTAGTAATACAATAATATTAAAATTATAATAATTCAATATTTATTCATTTTAATATTAAATATTTTTTTCATTTATGCAATTGATTTAATCATTTAAAATAATATGCCATTATTTGAATATATCAATGGAGTTTTTCAAATATTAAATTAAAAATAGAACAGAAAATATGATATTTAAA